CGAGGTTTCTTTTCTCAACACTCCTCAGTGCTGAAAGTGAACACTCGATGGTGATTGGCTAATTTTTTTTACCAACTGAGGCATGAGAGCTCAGCTCTCCCCCGGCCTCCCCCTCCCCTTCTCTATCATTAGCGGTTGTAATTACATCAGCAGATTCGGCACATTCGCGATAGAAAAGCGGCGCTTTCACGTTATGGTATTACAACTGTGAAATTACAAACAAAATATACACATTCTGAGACATGAACTGAAATGAATTGTGAATTTTATTAACATTAAATCGTCCTCCTCCCATTTTCACCTCTACACTGCTGTATTGACAAAAATACTGTAAAGACATTTTTTTTTAAATGTCTTCTTTCGTATTCTATAGGAAAAAAGCTATGCTGGTTTGAAACGATATCAGTAAATAATAACAGAATTTACATTTTTGGGTTAACTATCCAAAACGAGCTCATTGGAAAAACGTGCCAGTTGCGACATTTCTGCACAATGATATTATGTGACAATTTCTATCTCTGAAAGAGAGATGAACATAAATCTGGCAATGTTTCATTACACTGGTTGTTGTAGATATTGGCCCTGTCCCAAATCGCACCCTAAACCCTCGCTGTCTTCCTCTGAGTCCACACTTTCGTGACGTAATGCCGCTTTGACTGTCGGGTAGAAGCCTGCTGCGGAGCTCGCCTCAGTGCAGGCTCGGCAGAAGTGCGCATCAAGGGTGCATATAGCGACCGCAAAGGGGGCACTCGCTAGCACCCTTCTGAAAGCTAAAATGACGAATGGGACACCCTACGGTCTCGTGGACTTAACAGACACGCGCACACGGCGGCTGTAAGACCGCAAGAGCACATGAAGTGTGCCATTTGGGACACGGTCATTCGCACGGCAGGTCAGAAATGAAATGCCTGATGAGTGGTGCTGAGAGTTATGCTCTATTGCATTTGATTTGAAATTAACATACAACCTACACGAAACCTAACCAACACTTCAAGCACTTCACATTGCAAATGCAATACCGTACCAGGTGAGCCATCGAGCAAGTTTACAAAATTAGAAAAGCCATAGGCCTTCATATGGATATGCATATGTGATGCAAATGTCAGTGTATTAGTATACAAATAACTCGTTGTAGTAAAGTGTTTTGGACTACACAAAAATAAGTCTTTGTTCATCGATAATCTGCTCCGTAATCATAAAAATAAATAAATATTGTTGGTGATTTTAAGTGTAAATCCGAGTTGGAAACTGCAGTGAATTTTATGCTATTTGTTTGGAGTTTTGCAAAAATGTAGGTAAAGGCTCGTTTCTCCAATGAGCCTATGTTGGAACTATCTCTTACAATTTTTATACAGTATATGGCCTCCCCAACTGTAGATGCCTATGGCAATACATAGTAAAGTAGGCGAACAGCTGAAATCAAATGTCACACGTGAAGGCCTCATCAAATTCAAGACTAATGCAGGGGAAATTTGATGTATACAACTCCTGAGAATGCTGAACGCACATGCCTGCATTTAAACCCCATACTGTCTGTCATCATTACACATTACTAAACGTGTGTAATTAAATGCATAATCCACGCAAGCCGGTGTGAACCTAGTCACACTACAAACTCCGTGTCCATGTAATGTGAAGCCATTTTCCCAGCAATTGAGTCTGTATTAAAGGTGCAATGAATAATTAAAACACACCGTCTTCCAATGGTGGTGGGTTAATGATGGCCATAATGGGCTCAAACCACCGAAACCCGTTTTCCTCCACACACAACAGCATCTTGTCATTGTTCCTCACTGACGGATCCCACATGAAAGATGAAACAGGTTCTTAGCCTACCGCAGGAAGCAGCGGCTCCATCTGCGCTCCTTGATCTTTCACATCCATCCCAGATATTCTGCCTTATACGGTCTTGTTCGTCTATGAAGGGAATATTGTTAGGAAAGTAGAGAAAACGTCATGTATGTTGAGGCGGTTTCGGTGGCGGTGTAGTAACCGTTGGTTTTTTTTCCCCTTCTTTCTTCACTCGCGCGCGCGTCCGTGCCTGCCTGCGCTCTTTCTTCGGCGTGTCATTTGAGCTCGCGTGACGCAACTGCGACCAGCAGCACGTGAGTTAACGGAAACCACCGGGACGTGTTAGATAAACGGACGAAACACTCCGGGGACAAACGGACACTTGAGGCTTCGGTTTACTAAATGTGAGAATATCGTTTATAGAGCGCGCTGAGTTGAAACAAAAACCGAACTAAAAAAAAAATGTCGCTTCTGGTTTAACATCTAAATTATATGGATTTAATTTAGTCAAAAATGTTTTAATAGCCTATCACTGAATCAAAAAAAAAAAAAGCCGATTTCCTAACAATATTGACTTTTTATAGTCTTTTCAAATAATTTATTTATATAGGGGACACGGGGGCTAGTTACATGGGCTATATTTCACTAACTATAGCCTACAATTTTAAGTAAAACGTGTGTATTTGCGCGTATGTTTTTTAAACGACTATATATATATATATATATATATATATATATATATATAGTACAATATAATTACTCTTGGTTCATCATAGTATCATGTTCAAATGTTTACATACCCTTGATTCTTAATATCCTGTGCTGCTTCCATGGATCTCAATATCACTGAGCCACTATGGGGAACGTGAAGAGCATACTGGGAAAGAAAGATCTTAAGAATGAAGGGAACGTGTAATTCAGTTATTAGTTATAGCAAGAGATGCAAACATCAGGGCAGTCCTGAAAAAAAAAGTTGAAAAAAATATATATATATTATTTTTCTGTTTCAACCCAACATTGGGTCAAATATGGACTAACCCAGCTGTTGGGTTACATTTTTA